GTCTCATTTGTCTATGTTTGCTTTTGTTGCCTGTGTTTTTGTTGTTATAATTATTTATTTTGTTGTTGTATTTATACAAGGGATGGGGTTTTGCTGTGTTGCCCAGGCTGGATTGCAGTGGGTATTCACAGGTACAATGCTACTGTTGTTCTACATAGAGTTTTGACCCACTCCATATCTGACCTCAGTCACATTACTCCTCCTTAGGCATTCTGGTGGTCGTTTACTCCTGGGAGGTCATCATCCTGATGCTAAACTTAATGTGGATGCTCAATTGGAATAGCACACTATAGCACCTACAGCACAGAATTTCTGGACTCAGGTGATCCTCTTGCCTCAGCTTCCCAAGTAGCTGGAACTATAGGCATGTGCTACCATGCCCAACTTGTTGCCTGTGTTATTGAGGTCTTACCAGTAAAATCTTTACCCAGGGCGGTGTCCTAAAGTCTTTCCCCTGTGTTTTCTTGTAGTCATTTCATAGTTTGGGGTCTAATACTTAAGTCTTTGATTTTTGTATATGATGAGAGATGGACCCAGTTTTATTATTCTGCATTTAGATACACAGTTTTCCCAGAACTATTTACCGAAGAGGCTGTCCTTTCCCTCATGTGTTTTCTTGGTGCTTTTGTTGAAAATCAGTTATCTGTAAAGACGTGGAATTATTTTTGGCTTCTCTATTCTGTTTCGTTGGTCTGTGTATCTGTTTTTATGATAGTACTGTGGTGTTTTGGTTACTGTAGCTTTGTAGAATATTTTGAAGTCAGATGGTATGTTAGATACCTCGAGTTTTATTCCTTTTACACAAGATTGCTTTGACTCTTTGGACTCTTGTTGCTCCGTGCAGATTTTAAGATTTTTTAAAAATTTTTCTGTGAAGAAATTCATTGGAAATGTGATAGAAATTGCATTCAATCTGTAGATCACTTTTGATAGTATGGTCATGTTAACAATATTAATCTCCCAATCCATGAACATGAGATTTCTTTTCATTTTTTTGTATCTTCAGTTTCTTTAATCAGTGTTTTATAGTTTTTTTGTAGAGATCTTTTACCTCCTTGGTTAAATTTATTCATAGGTATTTTATTTTTTACAATTATTATAAAGGGGATTGCTTTCTTTTCCAGTTTGTTAAGTATGTAGAAATGCAACTGATTTTTGTATGTTGTTGTTTTTTTTTTTCTTTTTATCATGAAACACTAATGAATTACAAGTTCTAAGAGTTTTTTGGTGAAATCTTTAGGTTTTTCTACATTTAAGATAATGTCATCTGCAAGTGGACAGTTTTGACTTCCTTTTTTATTTGGAAGTCATTTATTTCTCTCTTGTGCCTAATTGCTTTGGCTATTTCCAGTGCTGTGTTGAATAAGATTGATGAATATGGGCATCATTGTACTGTTCTGGTCCTTTGAGGAAAAGCTTTCAACTTTTTTTGTTCAGCATGTTGTGAGTCTGTCATATATGATATTCATTGATTGAGGTATGTTTCTTCTATACCTAATATATTTTAGAGTTTTTGTCCTGAAGGAAAGCTGAATTTTTATCAAATGCTTTTTCTGCATGTATTGAAATGATCATTTTTTTTTCATTCAGTTGATATGATGTATCATATTTATTAATTTGCATATGTTGAACCATCCTTGCATACCTGTGATAAATCCAACTTGATTGTGGTGAATAATCTTTGTAATGTGTTGCTGGATTTGGTTTGCTAATGTTTTATTGAGGGTTTTTGTGTCTATATTTATCAGAGATACTGGCCATAGTGTTCTTTTTTTGTTGTGTTCTTGTTTGGTTTTTGTGTCAGGGTAATGTTGGCCTTATAGAATGAGTTTGGAAAAATTCTTTTCCTTTCAGTTTTTTGGAATAGTTTGAGAAGAATTAGTATTAGTTCTTTTTTAAAAGTTTGGTAAAATTCATCAGTGAAGCTATCAGGTCCTGGGCTTTTCTTTCTTGGGAGACTTTTTATTGATGATATAGTCTTGTTATTCATTATTGGTCTGTTCAGGTTTTCTGTTTCCCTCTGGTTCGATCTTGATAGGTTTGTGTGTTTAGCAATTTATCCATTTTCTCTAGGTTTTCTCATTTGTTGTCCTGAAGTTGCTCATAATAGTCTCTAATGATCTTTAGTATTTCTGTGGCATCAGCTGTAATGTCTGCTTTGTCGTTTTTGATTTTATTTATTTGGGTCTTCTCACTTTTAGTTAGTCTAGCTCATGTTAGTTAGCATACAAATACATGAAAATCAAATAACATGCTCCTGAATAACCAATGAGTCAAGGAGGAAATTAAGAAATAAACTTTTTTATTTCTTCAAAAAACCATTTTGTTTTGTTGATATTTTGCAGTTATTTAGCTTCCTTTTTGTAAATACCTGTACTGATATTCATGTTTTATTTCTCTCTACTGATTTGGGGTTTTGTTTGTTCTTGTTTTTCTAGTTACTTGGGGAACATCATTATGTTGTTGGTTTTAAGTTTTTGTACTTTTTGATGTAGGCATTTATTACTATAAACTTTCATTCTTAATTCTACTTTTGTGGTATTCATCTTATAATAGGTTTTGGTATGTTGTGTTTTTGTTTTTATTTATTTGTTTCAAGAAATTTTTCAGTTTATTTCTTAATTTCCTCCTTGACTCATTGGTCATTCAGGAGCATGTTATTTGATTTTCATATATTTGTACACCTTTCAAAGTTGTTCTTGTTACTGATTTCTAGTTTTATACTGCTGTTGTCAGTAAAGATACTTGATATGATTTTGATTTTTAAAAATTTACTGAAACTTGTTTTGTGGCCTACGTATGGTTTGTCCTGTGGAATGTTCCATGTTCTGATAAGAAGAGTGAATATTCTGGCCAGGCATAGTGGCTCACACCTGTAATCCCAGCACTTTGGGAGACTAAGGTGGGAAGATCACTTGAGGTCAGGAGTTTGAGAGCAGCCTGGCCAAAATGGTATAACCTTGTTTCTACTAAAAATACCGAAAAAAATTATTTGGGCTGGGTGGTGTGCACCAGTAATCCTGGCTGCTCAAGAGGCTGAGGCACAAGAAGCCAAGAGGTGGAGGTTACATTGAGCTGAGATTGTGCCACTGCCCTCTGGCCTGGGCGACAGAGCAAGACTCCATTAAAAAAAAAAAAAAAGACTACAACAGAAGAAGAAGTATGAGTATTCTGCAGCTACTGGATGAAATGTTTTGCAAATGTCTGTTAAGTCCATTTGGTCTATAGTGTAATTTAAATCTTGTTTCTTTCTAGATGACCTGTCTAATGCTGAGAGTGGGGTATTGAAGTCCTCTACTGTTATTTTATTGGTGTCTATCTCTCTCTTTAGATAATAATATAAAGCAGATATTATTATTTGCTTTATATATCTGGGTTCTCTGGTGTTTGATGCATACATATTTACTATTGTTAATTGTCTTGCTGAATTGTTTTTTATCATTGTATAAAGAACTTTGTCTCTTTACAGCTTAAAAATTTTTTTACAGTTTTTTTGTTTGTTTGTTTGTTTTTGTAGTGTGACAAGCTTTCACAGTTTTTGATTTAAAGTCTTCGATATAAGTGTGTTATTTCAGTTCATTTTTGGTTTCTCTTTGCCTCGGAGTGTCTTTATTTTACTTTCAGACTATGTCTTTATGGGTGAAGTGCATTTCTTGTAGGCAGCATATATTTGGGCTTTGAGTTTTTATTCCTTCATCCAGTCTGTATGTTTTCATTGGGGGATGTAATCTGTGTACAATCAAAGTTATTCTTGATAGGTGAGGACTTACTCCTGTGATTTTGTTAATTGTTTTCTGGTTGCATTGTACATCTTCTGTTTCTTTTTTGCTCTCTTAATTGTTTATCCTTGTGGTTTGCTGGATATCTGTAGTGACAAAGTTTGATTTCTTTCTCTTTCTCATGTGTTTATCTGCTCTACTAGTGAGTTTTATACTTTTGCATGTTTTCATGATGTTAGTCGTTGTCTTTTCATTTTCAGTTGTAGGACTCCCTTCAGAATTTCTCGTTGAGTAGATGTAGTGGTGATGAATTCTCTCAGTTTTTGCTTATCTGAGAAAGGCTTTGTTTTTTCTTCATTTCTGAAGGATAGTTTGCTGGATATAGTATTTTTGAATGGAAGTTATTTTTCTTTCACTACTTTTATCATTCTGTTCTCTTCTTGCCTGTAAGGTTGCTCTTGAGAAATCTGTTTGTCTCATGCGGATTTTCTTATATGTGGCTTGATGCTTTTTTCTTGTTGTTTATAGAATTCTTTCTTTGATGTCATTTTTGATATTTGATATAGTGTGCCTTGGAGAGGACCTTTTTGAATTGAATCAGTTTGGTATCTTTGAGCTGTTTGGATTTGGATATTCGTATCTCTCCTAAGACTTGGGAACTTTTCAATTATGATTTTGTTTGCGAGGTTTTTGATACCATTTCCCATTTCTTATTCTTCTAGAATTTTTATAATGTGAATATGAGTTCACTTGATGGTGTCACATAAGTATCATAGGCTTTTTTCATTCCTTGTATTCTTTATAATTAGTTATCTGACTGGATTATTTTTAAAAACCTGTCCTAAAGTTCAAAAATTCTTTTTCCTGCTTGACTGAAATTATTGAATGTATTTTTAATTTTGTTCATGGAATTCTTCAGCTCCAAGGATTCTCTTTGGTTCTTTTTTATGATATCTATCTAAAATTTCTCATTCACATGATTTTTTTTTCTGATTTTGTTGAATTTTGTATCTATGTTCTCTTGTATCTTTCCAAGTTTCCTTAACATTGTTATTTCGAATTTCTTTTCAGGCATTTCTTAGATTTCCTTTTCTTTAGGGTCTATTACTGGAGAATTACTGGGTTTCATTGGAGGTGTCCTGTTTTCTTTTTCACGTTTCTTTTTTGTTTTTAGAAACGAAGTCTTGCACAGTCTTCCAGGCTGGAGTGCAGTGGTGTAATCTCGGCTTAATGCAACCTACACCTGCCAGGTTCAAGCAGTTCTCCTGCCTCAGCCTCCCAAGTGGCTGGGATTACAGGTGCCTGCCACCACGCCCAGCCAATTTTTTGTAATTTTAGTAGAGATGGGGTTTCACTGTGTTGACCAGACTGGTCTCAAACACCTGTCCTCATGATCCACCCACCTTAGCATCCCAAAGTGTTGGGATTATAGACGTGAACCACTGTGCCCGGCCTTTTTCATGTTTCTTGTGTTCCTATGTTATGGGTTCATCTGGTAGAACAGTTGCCTCTTTTTCATGGAGTATCTTTCATAAGGGAGGACTTTTTCTTGTATGTTTGTCCTGTAGTATTGTTTGGGTAAGTGCTTTGGCTTTGTTTCTGGTTGAGTGCAGTAATGCAGTCTCCATGTCATGTCTTCGGCTGTAATCAGTGTCAGTACTGTCTGCAAGTACCTCAGTGGCCTATAGTGTGGATTTTTGTAGAGTGAGTCTTGTGTCTTTGCTGTTGGTAGGTGAACCTAGGTGGAACAGTTCTCAGGCCTTCGGTGGTAGGTGTGGTGGCTTTGCCAGTTGTGGGGTGGGGTTGCCAGTGGTGGCTGTTGCCAGATGGGCCTATCCTTGGTCCCCATAAGTATGTGGGGTGCATTTCAGCTTCACCAGTTGTGAGAATGGGATTGCTGACAGTGCCTGGCAGCTAGTTCGTAAACCCTGTGGACTGCATGCACCAACACCCTTGGTCTTGGAGGTGGCCTCTCTGCTGTGCTAGACTGCTTGTTCCTTTAGGTCTACTCTTATATCGGCTCAGGTGCTGCAGTTTTGACTTTACTGCTCTGTGTAGTGGAGGTTGTGTTGTTGCAGCCTTATATATGGTTGGGGTGTAATGATGGTGGGACCTTCAGATGTGGAAATACCAGGTCTGTTGAATCCCTTGGGAGCATGTATTCTAGCACTGACTCTGTTCTCAAAATGTTGCTGTGCTTAGCAACTTTGGTCACAGGGAGTTGGGGAACCCAATGTGTGTTACTTCTCTGGAGCAGTGTAGCCACATGGACTCCAAGCAGCAACCTGTATTGGATTCAGGGCCTGTTAGGACTCTAGGGCTTTTCTGTAGCAAGGTTTACACATGTCCACAATGGTTTTAGGGACTGCTAAGGAACCCCTACCTACGATTTCTCCCGCAGTGGGGAGTCTCACTTGATTTTGAGCCAATCCCGGCTTGGCGCTTTGCTTTCTTTTCTATGCTGCCATCTCAAGTCTCCATAATCATGAGTGGGGTTTTGTCCCTTTCATGTAAATTCTGTTGTTCTCTCCTAGAAACTCTACCTGAAGCGCAGTTATTTACTTGTTATTTTGGGCCTTTGTAGAGGAGTGTTGGTCCTCTAGTCAGTCATCTTAATGATGTCTTCCTCATGTTTTTTTGATAGTAGCCATTCTAATAGGTGTGAGGTAGTATCTCATTGTAGTTGTGATTAGCATCTTTCTAATGATTAGTGATGTTGAGCATCTTTTAATATGCTTGTTAGCCACTTGTATATTCTTTTTTGAAAAAAGTATTTTGCTCATTAAAAAATTTTATTTTTTTCTTGTTTACTTTTTCTCTATATCTGGATATTAATGCCTTATCAGATATATGATTTGCAAATATTTTATCCTATTCTGTAGGTTTTTACTCTGTTGCTAAGTGTCTTTTGTTGCAGAAAATTTATTTTCATGGAGTTCATTTTGTGTGTGTTTTTTTTGTTTGTTGCCTATACCTTTGTTATCATATCCAAGAAATTATTATCAAATCAAATGCCATGAAGCTTTTCCCCCATCTTTTCTTCTAAGAGTTTTATAGTTTTAGGTTGTACATTAGACCTTTGATCTATTTAAAATTAATTTTCCCACATAGTGTTAAAGAGAGGTCCAGGTTTATTCTTTTATATGTGTATATCCAGTTTTCCCAGCACTGTTTGTTGACAACATTGCCCTTTCCTTATTGAATGATCTTGGCACTCTTGTCAAAAACATTTGACCATATATGGGAGGGTTTATTTTCGTATTCTGTATTCTATGCCAATTGCTTATATGTCAGTCGTTATATTACTGTCACACTATTTTGATTATTATAACTTTGCAATACATTTTAAAATAAGGAAGTATGAGTTCTCTAGTTTTGTTCTTCAGGATTATTTCATCTACTTGGGTTCCCTTGAGATTCCATATGAATTGTAGGATGATTTTTCTATTTCTGTACAAAATACTGGGATTTTGATAGGAATTGCATTGATTGTATAGATTATTTTGGGTAGTATTGATATCTCAACAATATTAAATCTTTCAATTCATGAACAGGGGATGTGTTTCCGTTTATTTATATATTCTTTAATTTCTGTTAGCAATGTCTTTTAGTTTTCTCTTGATAAGTATTTCACCTCCTTGGTTCAGTTAATTTTTAAGTATTCTTTTTGGTACTATTGTAAATGGAGTAATTTTCTTCATTTTTCTTTTCATGTTATTTATTGTTAGCGTATAGAGATGCAGCTAATTTTTGTTTGTTGGCTTTGTATTCAGCTACTTTGCTGAACTCATTGCCTTACTCTTACCTAATAGCTCTGCCTAGAACTTGCAGTTTCATGTCAAATGGAAGTGGCAAAGGTGCGAGTACTTGTTTCATTCCTGATCTTAGAGGAAAACATTTCAGTCTCTCACCATTGCTTATGATATTCACTGTGGGTTTTTTAGAGATAGCTTTATTATTTTGAGGTAGTGTCCTTCTCTTCTGAGCTTGATAGTGTTTTTTATCATGAAACGGTGTTGAATTTTGTCAAATGCTTTTTCTGCATCAATTAAGATGATCATACATTTCTTTCTTCATTCTTTTAATATGGTATATTATTAGGTTGGTGCAAAAGTAATTGTGGTTTTGGACCATGAATTTTAAATCATTATAACTAGGCTCAAACACATCTTTATTAATCAAAATAGGAACCATTGCAGGCAACGCATTCTTACCAATGAGAAATAAGTTTGTTTATTCTTGTAGTATAAAAATCCATGCTTTGGGATTCAACAGACTTTTTTTTTTTTAGTCTTGCTCTTGCCGCTTAGGCTAGAGTGTAAAGTGCAGTGGCACAGTCTTGGCTCCCTGCAACTTCCGTCTCCTGGATTCAAGTGATTCTCCCAAGTAGCTGGGATTATAGGCACCTGCCATCATGCCTAGCTAATTTTTCTATTTTTAATAGAGACAGTGTTTCAGCATGTTGGCCAGGCTGGTCTTGAATCCCTGACCTCAAGTGATCCCCTGCCTTGGCCTCCCACAGTGCTGGGATTACAGGTGTGAGCTACCACATCTGGCGAGATTAGACAAACTCATGGAAAGCATTTCCTGCATCTTGCTGGTTGTGGAAGCGTTTTCCCTGCAAAAAGTGGTTGAGTTGCTTAAAGAAGTTATAGTTGGTTGGTGAGAGGTCAGGTAACTATGGCAGATGAGGCAAAACTTCGTAGTGCCATTTGCTCAACTTTTGAAGTGTTGGTTTTGTGACATACATTCAGACATTATCGTAGAGAAGAATTGGGCTCTTTCTGTTGATCAGTGCCAGCTGCAGGCATTGCAGTTTTCAGTGCATCTAATCGATTTGGTGAGCATACTTCTCAAATGTAATGGTTTCTCCAGGATTCAGAAAGCTGTAGTGGATAAGACCAGCAGCAGACCACTAAGCAGTGACCAAGACCTTTTTTGGCACAAGTTTGGCTGTGGGAAGTGCTTTGGAGCTGCTTCTGGGTCCAGCCACTGAGGTGGTCATTGCCAGTAGTTGTATGAAATCCACTTTTTGTCACACATCGCAGTCTGCCTGAGAAATGATTTGTTGTTGTTGCATAGAATAAAAGAAGATGACATTTGAAAATGACGATTTTTTTTTATTTTCACTCAGCTCATGAGACACCCACTTATCTAGTTTCTTAACCTTTCCAGATTACTTCAAATGTCCAATGACCATAAAATGGTTGACATTGAGTTCTTTGGCAACTTCTGTAGTTTCAGAGGATCGGCTTCAATGATTGCTCTTAATCGGTCATTGTCAACATCTGACAGCTAGCTGCTACGCTCCTCATCTTCAAAAGTGGACCTCTTTTTCTTTTTCAATTTTTTTCTATTTCAGTGATTATTTCCCCTTTGTTATTTCTTGTTCTATGTGTGTACTTTCTTTCCAGGTCAAGTCAGGCAGCGTGTGTGTGTGTGTGTGTGTGTGTGTGTGTGTGTGTATTTATTGTGGTAAAATATACATAAAATTTACCATTTTAACTATTTAAAAACATACAGTTCAGTGCATTCTTTTAAATTAGAATTTTGGTTTGTTAGATCAACTGGTTTCTCATTTTTTAACTCATTAATTTCTGCTTTCATCTTCTGGTTTTCTGCCCTTAAAAAGTTTGTATACACCCATTTTGTATACAGTTGTGTAATCCTCACCACAATAAAAATATGGAATAGCTTCATCACCCCAAAAGTTTTCTCATGTCTCTTTATAGTTGATGTCTTTTCCTGACCCCCAGCCTTAGGTAACCTGTGACTTATCCATGCTATTGTGTGTATCAGTAGTTCATGTCTTTTTATTGCTGACTAGCATTCGTTGTACAAATATGATTTATTTATCCATTCTTCTCTTGATGGTCAAATATTTATGTTGTTTTTAGTTTGGGGCAATAATGAATAATGCTGCTGTGAACATTCATTTACAAATCTTTGTATGGAAACATGTTTTTATTTCTCTTAAATACCTAGAAATGGGATTACTAAGTAATATGTTAAGTATATATTTAATTTTATAACATACAGAAATACTGTGTTCCAATGTAGAAACACTTAACCAAGTTTTTTAATTGCAGCTAGAAATGTATGAAGATTTTATTTATTTTACATCCTTACTGACACTTGTTATTTTCAGTCTTAATAATTCAAATGGATATGTTGTAACATGTTACCTGTAGTCTTAATTTGATTGTCTCTGATGACTAGTGGTGGTTAGCATCTTTTTGTGTGCTTATAAGCTACTTTTGTGAAGTTTCTGTTCAAATATTTTGCCCATTTTTGACATTGGGAAGTTATCTTATTGATTTATAATATTTATGTATTGTGCATACAAGCCCTTTCTTGGATACATATTTTGCAGATATTTTCTCCTTATCTATGACTTTCCTTTTCATTTACTTGTGTGTGTGTATATATATATATATGCGTGTGTGTGTGCATATATATGTGTGTATATATGTATGTGTATGTATACATATGTGTGTGTATGTACACTTTGTGTGTGTGTGTATATACACACACACACACATACACACACATATATATATATATATATATATATTTTTTTTTTTTTTAATACAGGGTCTTGCTTTGTTGCCCAGGCTGGAGTGTAGTGCATCTCAGCTGACTGCAACCTTTACCTCCTGGGCCCAGGCGATCCTCCTGCCTTGGCCTCCCACGTAGCTGCAACTGCTATGCCTGGCTGAGTTCTGTATTTTTAGTAGAGACAAGGTTTCTCTGTGTTGCCCAGACTGGTCTTGAACTCCTGAACTCAAGCGATCTGCCTGTCTTGGCCTTCCAGAGTGTTGGAATTACAGGCGTGAGCCACTGCAACTGGCCACATTTACTTAATTGTGTATATTGAAAGTGGATTTTATAAAATCTACTTCTGTGGTGTTTTTTCCTGTGTTTTTCACACCACAACAACACAGAAGACTTCTGTGTCCAAATGTATGGATTTCTACCCATCAACAAGCAAGGATTCAGTTCTGCAGTGGACACCAGCCCAATCTTCTAATCCAATTTGATTCTAGTCATTTCTTCATGGAGACAGCATCAGATCCTATGAGTTGAAGACTGGGTCCCACAAGATTGCCCCCATTTCAGACACCAGTCTCACTTCCAGGCCTCTGGAACTTCTGACCGACCAGCTTTTTAAGTGGGGATTTCCATGACCTTCTGTTTCAGCTAAATTAGTTTACTAGAGTGGTTAACAATCTTAAGGAAATACTTTATGTTTCCTAGTTTTTTGAAGAGGATTTTTTAAAGAATATAAATCAACAGGTAGATGAAGAAATAATAGGCCAGGCACAGTGGCTCATGCCTATAATCCCAGCCCTTGGGAAGCCTCAGGTCAGGTGTTTGAGACCAGCTTGACCAACATGGTGAAACCCCATCTCTACTAAAAATACAGAAAAATTAATTGGGAATGGTGGCAGGCACCTGTAATCCCAGCTGCTGGGGAGGCTGAGGCAGGAGACTTACTTGAACCTGGGAGGTGAAGGTTGTAGTGAGCTGAGATCATGCCATTGCACTCCAGCCTGGGCAGCCGAGCGAGACCCTATCTCAAAAGAAAAAAAAAAAAAAAAGAAAATGAATAATAGGGTGAGGTCTGGGTCCAGAGCTCAGGAGCCTCTGTTCCTGTGGAGTTGGGATGTGCCACTCTCCTAGCACATGGATGAGTTACTGTTTTCCTTTGTGTAATCCTCCATGAGTTCAGCTGTCTAGAGGCTTTCTGTACCCTGTCCTCTTGAGTCTTTTTTGGACACTTCATTGTCCATGATTGAAGCATGGACAATAGTATGGAAATATTATTGGACAAAAAGGACACGATCGATTACTAATAGACTGTATGGAGAATCATAACAAGGGCTGTCTGTTTAGATTCTTATTGGTCCCTCTGTGTAACATTACTTCCTCCTGGGTAAGGGGCAGGACCCCTTTAGAAATGGGGACCTTATGACCTACTATGAGATAAGGTAATTCAGAGAATTTTATTTTTTGTTGTTGTTGTTGTTTTTTTTTATGACCAGCTCCAAGACAGAAAGGTGGGGGAAGATTAGAGTATATTTTTAGTGTACCTGCCTTGGGGAGAAAAAGGCGCAGGTAAAAGGTAGACAGAAGGTCAGAGATTCTGTTTTTTTGAGGTGTGTTTCTGAGGCTCAAAGCACCCCAGTATTATAACCAAAGACTGTCTTTCATCTTTATCACTCTGAAGCTGTTCTGAAGCTGCCTCTCGAACCATGAACAAAGGGCCAAATACTGTAACAAAAGATATGTGTATTGTTTTAGTCAGTTAGGAAATATGGTCAAGGGCTATGGAAGTTATGAGCCAGGAACTATGGAAGTAAACTCATCTGTACATGTAAACCAATATATATACATCATAATGCCACACCACTTTATCAGTTTTTTTCTTGTTATTTTTTTATGTTCTCTTCAAGAAGTCTTTGCCTAATTCTGTGTTACAAAGATATGTTTTCTTCTAAAAGATTAACATTTGGTTTTCACCTTTAGGTTTTAAGGTCTAATTCATGTTAACTTTTATGTGGTGTAAGGTAGTGGTACACATATGCATTTTGTTTGTATCCAGTTGTTCCAGCACCATTTTTTGAAGACTGTCTTTTCCCTCATTGAATTACAGGTGTGGGTCTGTTTCTGGACCCTGCTCTGTTTTACTGATCTTTGCCTTTAAACCAGTATCAGACCATTTTGATTACTGTAGCTTTATAGTAAGTTTGATTCAGGTAGTGCAAGTCCTCTACCTTGTTCTTTTTTGTCTAAATTCTTTTGGCTCTTCTAGATCCTTTGCCTTTCAAATATAAATTTTTTAATCAGTTTGTAACTTTAAACAAAATCTTGTTAAAATTTTAATTGGGATTGTATTGGATTTTTAGGCCAATTTGAGAATTGTTACCTTAACAATATTGAGTCTTCCAATCCATGAATATCATACATCTCTCCATTTATTTAGACCTCCTTACTTTCATCAGTGTGCTACAGTTTTCGTTGTATACATACATCATGCTCATCTTTCAATCAGTTTTATTTCTAAATATGTTATAAATGGAGTTCATTTGACTTTTTATTCATTGCCTATAGAAATATAGTTAGTTGACGTCTATGTATTAATCTTGAATCCCATGACCTTACTAAAGTCATATATTTTCTTTCTTTTTTCTTTTTTTTTTTTTTTTTTGTTGATACAGAGTTTCACTCTTGTTGCCCAGGCTGAAGTGCAATGGCACAATCTTGGCTCACCACAACTTCTGCCTTCCAGGTTCAAGCTATTCTCCTGCCTCAGCCTCCTGAGTAGCTGGAATTACAGGCATGTGACACCACGCCTGACTAATTTTTTGTGTTTTTACTAGAGACAGGGTTTCTCAATGTTGGTCAGGCTGGTCTCGAACTCCTGACCTCAGGCGATCTGCCCGCCTCGGCCTCCTAAAGTGCTGGGATTACAGGCATGAGCCATTGCACCAAGCCTTAAGTCACATATTTTCTAATAGCTGCTTTCTTGATTTCTTAGAGTTTTCTAAGGTCACCTTGGCCTTTCTTTTAGTTTGCTTTGTTCATTTGGTTGTTTTTGAGTTGGGAATTTAATTTTATTATAGTTTATTCTTTCATTTTTATTGGTAAGAGTATTTAGTGCTAAGAATTTTCCTCTCATCACTGCTTTAAGTATATCCCATAAATTACAGTAGTGTTCTAATTATTATTTTTAAAGAAATTCAATAGTTTGTGTTTTTATTTTTGCCAAAGAGTTATTTAATAGAAGATGTAATAGTTTGCTAAAAGCCTGCCTTAATGAAATACCACAGACTTGGTGATCAAACAACAGGAATTAATTTTCTTAGTTTTGGAGACTAGAAGTCACAGATTAAGGTATTGGCCAATTTGGTTTCTCCTAAGGCCTCTCTTCTTGACTTGCAGGTAGCTGCCACTTCTCACTTTGTCCTCCCATGGCCTTTTCTGTGCCTTTGCATCCCCTCATGTCTATCTTTTTTATAAGGACACTCGTCATACTGGATTAGAGCCCACCCAAATGACTTTGTTTAACCTTAATTGTCTCTTTAAAGGCTCTGTCTCCAAATGTAGTCATATCTTGAAGGGACATTTTTCAGGCTATAGCAGAAGTTTTTTTAACTTCCAGGTGGGAGATCTTTTGAAAGTCAATTTCTAGTTTTATTGCATTGTAATCAGAATATTGTTTGTATTTTTTCTATTTTGTGGAACACTCTGATATTTCTTTGTGATCTAATCTATCAAGGGCAGGACAAGGGTAAAGCAAGTGAGGCACCCAGGGTGCAGAATTTAAGGAGACACTCTCATGTGCCGACCCTGTACTTGCAGGAGTCTTAGAATGGGTGTCTTCTTAAGTTTCACATTCTGGGCATATCACTTTCCCAGCAACTATAGGACTATAGTCATTTTGTCCTATAGTATATGTCAAGTATTGTGAGTGTTCCACAAACATGTGGAAAGAGTCTTATAAGAGTGTGAAGTTCTACATATGTATGCACACATGGGATCTACCTTAGTAGCTGTGATGTTTAGGTCTTCTGTATACTTACTTTTTGTCCACTTGATCTGTCTTGTACAAAGAATAATGTATTGAAGTCTCCTATTACTGTGTTTCTATATGTAACTCTTGTATATCTTGTAGTTTTTGCTTCATAAAAGTGAGTTTATAATATAAATGTACATAGCAGTTCTATTTTAAGTGTGAATTGTAGCTGTTAGCATTAAAGTGCTTTTTTTTGTCTTTTTTCTTTGTGCCTGACTTTTCTGATATCGTCACCACTTCTGTTTTCATTATAGTTTCTATTTGCTTGGCATACTTTTATCCTCTTATTTTTAAATTTTCTGAATCACTTATCTTTTTAAATGTGTGTTTTGTATATAGCATTTAGTTGGGTCTTGCTTTGTGGGCCAAATTTTAATAAATTAAAAATTTTATTTTAATGGGTGAATTAAGTACATTCACATGCAGTGAGCCCCTGCCTGCCAAGATTTACAGGCAGGAATGGGAGATATCACTTGTGGGATTTGGTATTTTTTCCTTCATTTTACTTCCAGTTACTTTGAGGTTTTGGGCATTTTCTGTCTTCCAGTTATGCTAAGCGTGAGGTTTTGTGTAGCTTTATTTGTTCACTTTGCTTTTCTATATTTTTGCAGAATATATGGATAACACAGAGCTAGACATCTATTGTCTTCAACACCTGGAAGTTCTTTACGTCTGCTTTTTAGATTCTAACGTCTTAGTGACGTGTCTAATTACATAAAGTGTGAGTGGGTTTTTAAAATCATGTTCATTAAGTGGTAGGTTATGTTTTGAGACAGGGTTCTTGATCAGCATTACTTAGGAAAGTATTTTATCAGGCAGAGGTATACTTATTATTTACTTGGGCTTTATAAATTATGAGTTTATATTATTAGTGGCTCTGATTCTAGAAGCATGAATCTGTAATAGATTTTAAGAATCATTCTTGTCTGTCCTTTGGCTTTTAGATGGGTACATTTTTTAACTGTTCAGGACAGGTAGTTTTATAATCTCTCTTTGACAGTCTCCAGAAAGTTGGGGGAGACCCTCCCCAGGCATCCTACTCTAATGTTTTATCCTATTATAATTCCACAACTTGGCCAGTTAGAATCTTTTCTGTTAGAATTTCAGGCTGTTTCTCCTGCTTTGGGTTTCTGTTGCCATAGTGATAAAATGTTCAGCATTCTGTCATTACTTGAACACAGTAATGAACTTGACCCTTATTTTTTTAG